GATTTCTGCTTAAACAATCTGCCTCTAAATTTTCCCTTCCTGGAGCATATTTAATTTTAAAGTCATATTGTGATAGATAGTATACTAATTCTCCCAATTCTTCATCTGTTCTAGACTTAATATTTAAATTCTCCAATGGTTTGTGGTCTGAATATACTGTGAAAGATTTACCTATTAGCCAATATTGCCAGTATCTTATTGCTTCTTTAATGGCTAAGCATTCTAAGTATATAGCCTTTTTTTTCTTTTGGACTTCATTTAGTTTTTTTGAGAAATATGCTACTGGCTTTTCTTTTCCGTTCGGCTGTATTTGCTTTAACACCGCTCCAATACCTTCTAATGATGCATCTGTGTATATATTTATAGGCAAGTCTTGATCAAAAATTTCTAAGATTGGTTGTGAGCATAGTAGTTTTTTAATCTTTTCAAAAGAATCTTGACATTCAGTTGACCAAATGAATTTTTGATTTTTTCTAAGTAAATTATGAAGTGGTTCTAACATAATTGAGCTTTTCGGTATGTATTCACGGTAGAAATTTATTTTTCCCAGAAGTTGCCTGATATTTTTCTGAGATTTTGGTATTGGGAAATCTCTTATTGAAATTAAATTATCCCTCACTGGTCGAACTGTATTATTCTGTATTATATGCCCGAGATATTTTACAGAATCTGAAGCAAATGTACATTTTGTGAACTTTAGTCTGAAACCTTCTTTTTTAATCGCCTCCAGCAGCTGGGATAAGTGGTTTATGTGTTCAGTATAAGACTTGGAGAATACCAGAATGTCATCTATGAAATTAACGGTAAAATCAGTTAGTTTATACTTTCTTAGTATGTTACTCAATATCCTTTGGAATATTGCTGGAGAGGTCTTCAAACCAAATGGTAAACATGTCCATTGGAAATGTCCTTCCTGTGTCACAAAAGCAGTTTTCTTTCTATCTTCGATTCGCAAAGGAATAGACCAGAATGCAGAATTTATATCTAACGTTGAAAAATACTTACAGTTTCTTGTTTTTCTCACCAAGTCTCCAATCAACGGAAATGGTTGAGCCTGCGGTACCACTATTTTATTTAAATCTCGAAAATCAATACACAATCTTGTTTTTCTATTATCTTCTTTTTTAAAAGCTAGGGTTACCGGTGCAGCAAACGGACTGTATGATTCCTCTATAAGGTTTCTTTCAAGTAATCTTCCTACTTGCTCTTCTATTTCTATCTTATCTTCTATGGAACATCTGTAAGGTCTTTTACAACAATATTTGTCTACGAGCAGATCAATGCGTGCTTCATAGTCTCTTACTGTTCCAATATCATATTTATCCTTTGCAAAGCTTGATTTATATTTATCAATCAATTTATTTATTTCAGATTTTTGCTGACTATTTAAATTACTCAGATCCATTATAAATTCTTTTTCTTTTATGTGTTCATTAAAATTTATAAAATTCAAGTTTTTTTTATTTTCAACTTCATTCGAGTTGTTTTCCTGTAATAGTTTCTGGTTTCTAGAGTTTTCTTCTATTTTTTGTGTGATTTTCAGATGTTCGTCCTGAATCAAATTAAACTCTTTTATCATATCAAGTCCAATTAGAAAATCATATTTAAATTCTTCTCCATCTACAATATAAACATCTATTTTTTTTTCTATTTCAAAAATTTTTATTTGCATTGTTGTCAAACCTCTTGTCCTTTTAACACCATTAATTGTTATTAAATTTGCGTTGTTATAATCATTTTTTTCTTTTTCTTTTAGTCTTAATAATTTAGAATTGATCAATGAAACATTAGAGCCTGAATCGTAAATACCGAATATGTCTAATTTTCTTTCCAATGTTAGTTTGACTTTAATTAATGGTGTTATTATTCGTTTTTTTGTTCGTCATTGTTTAATTCAACATCTAATACGGAATTGTTTACATTCTTATTGTGGTTTCTCTTGCTCTCATAATCACCAGTTTGCTTAAACCAGCATTTTTCCTCCGAGTGGAAACGGTTACCTTTATTTAATTTTTCACAAATTTTGCAAGCTTGAATTTTATCAAATTTTCCTTTATTATCAAAGGTTTTTCTTTTGAATTTATTATAATTATTTTTATTTATTGTATGCTCATGCTTACCAATTTCGTGGTAAAGGTTTGCGGTGGAAGTTATTGATCCCTTATCCACCTTGTATATTATATAATCTGGTAGACCCATTACAATAAGATTTATCATTGTTTGTGTGTCAATTTCTTTATTTACCTCTAGTAACAGTCTTTCCTTTTTCGTGGCATATTCCAGTAATGAACCTCCTTGGAATTTAAATGTAAATGCATATCTAACTTGTGACCAACCTTTATTTCCGTATGTTTCGCAAAAATTATTTTTCCATGTTGTCCATTCTGAGTTTACGGTAAATTTTATTAACATACTAGTGTACCAATCTAAGCAATGTTTTTCTAGTAAATGCTTTAAAATCTCAATTTTTTCTGCATCCATTAGTATCTCGAAACGTGTACACTCATTCTCAAATTCATTAATCCATTGGTCAACGTTTGATGTTTTTCCTGAAAATTTCTCTAGTAAAAATCTTTCTGCTATTTTTCCTATATTCATCTTTCCAGTTTCCGTGCTATTATTATTATTCGAATGTTTGCTTTCATCTGTAACTTCTTCTAGGTATTGATCACCAAATTGTAAATTTTCACCTTCATCTAAGTAGATTTTTCTCAATTCCTCAGTTAATGGAATCCATAGTTTTCGTGTCTGATGTCTTTTTTTTAGCGAATTTTTGATTTTCATAAAAACATCTGAAGTCGTTATCTTAGTGTGCTTACTAACAGGTTTTAGATCATCCGGAATATCAAATACACATCCATCGGGTGTCTCGATTGAAGTTATACAGATCACATTTGTTTTTCCATCAGTTGCTGCTAACACAGCAAATGTAAATCTTAATTTTTCCATATTATTTTTTTGACTATTAATGTCGTTTTATAAGACTATAAGTCGGGATTTTTAAGAACCGGCAAAAATTAAACTTATGTGTTGCTCTGAAATACAAAGTTTATTGTAAGCGTAAGTTTACAACAAGAAACAACCTATTATACACTATAAATAAGTCTTGAAACATAAATTACTATCTTACCTGAAATACAAAGAAACGACATTAAAAGTTATTGCCAGGTTTTGTCGAATCCTTTTTACAAATAAAATTATTAATTTTTTACAATTTCACATTTAAAAATGTTTACACTATGACACTCATCTGTCTGACAGCGCCTCAATTCAAATTTATTATAAAGAATTTAGAATAGTAACATATTAAAGAGATCTTATTTCTTTACATATATAATTCACTCAAAGGAAACATTATTTTATTTTTAAAAATAAGATTAACTACATTTAATTTTCTTTTATCATGGTGACCTGAACCAGTAATCGAACCTGCTGAAAATGCAAAAAGGTACCTACCCGTCACTATTTTATCGACTTAATGGATAGAGTGGTAAGGATGAAATGTCTCGAACGAAAATTGTATATTACAATTAATGGAAATGACGAAATCTTACTATTAAAATTAAACTAACTAACATCAGAACCTAAAATCATTCTTACATAATGGGCTTGTCAAATCGAACAAAAAAGCCCAAAATCAAAGTATCTACTAGTAACCGTTGGTTCAAGTGTTCCACCTATCCACCTTCTGGCTTTACTATCACATTAGGTCGGCATTAAAATGGGCTGAATAAAATAATATAATATTATAAATACTCGTATTAGATTAAGCGAGCGTGTCTATTTCCCATAACACTCATTTAAATACATAAAACATCGAATTCAGCATCGCTGCTGATAATGGATGATTATATACGACAATAAAAATGATTATAATTCAAATGATACGATAGCATAATATGATTGAGGTAATTATTAAATGTTAAGATCGGCAACTTCTGAAACAGATTTGTGTGTAGTGTTCTGTATTGTTATATGTATACCAAATATTCTTAAACCTATGTATATATTTTTGACTTTTAAAAGATTATGGGTATGAAAAACAACGATTTAATTCATAAGCTAAAAAAATGATGGAGATTTTTGATATATACACACAAACACACACACGCACAAACACACACACCCAACATAGATACACCATAATACTCAATTCAGAAAAAAGTCGGAGATATTCTCCAGTTAATCCATGGCATTTAAAAAATAAAAATGGGAATAGCTGAATTACCTTGGTTCTTCTAATCTAAGCAGATTCTTATTTTGAATCTGCGGAAATTTTAAAAAGAACTTTATTAAAATGAAATATAAAAAATATAGTAAAAGTTAAATAAATACGGTTCGTTGCAAACTAAGTTAGCGCTATTCTAGAAAAGCTAATAATTGTTATTCTGCTACTCGGAGCTGAGCTATATAATAATTATTATTAATATTTATGCCATCTATATCATGTGTTGAGTTTATTGGAAGTGCTTTAAATATTATTCAACTGATTTTATTATTTTCATACACATAGATACACCTTAATCTCGCGTTGATGATCAATTATTTGCAGATATTAGCCCTAAGTACAATATTTGAGCTTATCTTTTAATTATAAGGCATTAACTCTGGTGGGATATGAGAATTCTTTTGTCTTCAAGTTATTTGCATGCATGTGATATAAATATCAAGCCAAAAGAAGAAACTGGGCCATAGAATATATACCTACATTTCATAGTTAAAATGTCATTAATTAAATTACAGCTTTTAGCATTAAATTTCACCGCATATGTCCTGTTAGAATAATATCTGACCTACGATTGTAAATTATTATTATTTATCAATATTATCAATCCATTGTCATCTATTTGGATATTAAGATATTTCGTGGGTTTTTTAATCAATTAAAAGAACTGATAATTGTTTTAAATCCGTTACAAATATTATATTTAGTTCCTCATTGTTCATATTTTGGACATTCAGTGTATAACTTTTGGTCATTATTGAAATAATTGGCCAAAATGTTAAAAATTTTGTACTTTTTGTTCGTCTCCATATTTTTAGTTAATGCAAAACATGAAGAATTCATAGGGTAAGTTAGAAAATAATAACGTTTTTTTTTCTCTGTAATATTTTTTTTCTTTATGCCTAATTATATATTAGTAAATTTTAACATTGGCTAAAATCAAAATATTCTTTATAATTAGAATTTTGTATTATACACATACAGTATTTATAATTTTAGACTACCTACCTATTTCATAATTTTGTAAAATGTCTTCAATCTTTAATTTCAGGCACTCTTTATATGAAGTCAAAGTACACAACTTAAACCAAGTAGACGACCTTAATGCCATATTAGAAAATCTAAATCTAGATATTTGGTCCCATGCAGTTCCTGGAAGTGATGGGTTTATTTTGGTAGCAAAAGACTTGAAAGAAACATTCGAAAATAAGCTTAGATCTATTGGCGTTGAATACAAAATTGATACAGCTAATATTAAAGAGTAAGTTAGTAACGAATGTAAGGACTACTAATATATAAATAATCAAATTAATAAATAATTTATAAATATATTATCTTAACTTTAGACAGAAGTCGTAGAAGAAAGGTAGATGGTAAATAATTGAAAAGATAATACATTTAAAGACTTAAAAAGATATTGAAGAAGATCTTGAGAAAACTTATTTACAAAAACCTCATCTGATTTCAAGTGACATAGTTTTTATGTAAATTTAAAACTACTACTACAGTACTTTAAATTTGTGAATATTTATAGTTAAATATGACTTTCTTTGCAGAAAACTAGATCTCGAAGATCAGCTATTAGCTGAAGCCTATAAAACGGCTAATGTATCAGAATTGGGTAGATCAAGTTCCCGCTTATCTATGAATGTAATTCATCGATATGCTGCGGTAAGAAATCTTTATGATATTTAACATCTTTATAACAGTAGGATAGGGTCTCAAAACTGTTATTGCTTTTGTACTTTTAGGACTTCGTATCCAAAATCCCCTATTTTATTGTTTATGTGGCCGTATTCTTGATATTTATTATTTGAAAATTATTTAAAAAGCCCTTACATTATTTAATTATAATAATAATGAACATTATTTAATAGTATATATTTTATGAAAAAAAAAATGAAAATGATTTATGATGAAGTGTTATGTATGTAGAAGAATATTTATAATTTGGTTTTTGTATATTTGTATTTAAAATCCAATTTATGAAAATTTAGAAATATTTTCCAGGTTGACCAATATCTTACGGACATAGCGAGGATGTTCCCCAACGTGGCTCGTGTGGTATCAGCAGGAAGAAGTAGGGAAGGGCGTGATATCAAATATTTGAGAATATCCAGTGACAACTTCCAGGTAAGCACTTAGCATTTAGAACTTTCAAAAATAATGAACTTTGTTTAATTCTTTAATTTTTTTTTCTTAATTCATCAGAATTTATTATTTTATCAGTTTTGTCAATTAATTGATAAACAGATTAAAATTGTAAGAAAAGTAATACAATAACTGTAACTAATATTAATTAAAATAGTGTAATTGTAATTCCACTATGATTTCATTATTTATCAATTATATCTGATAACATCTTCCTCATGTTATTTATAATATATTTCGCGTTTCAGTTTTAAAACAACGAGAGTAAAATATTATTTCTATTTATCGACATTTTGTACGAGTATTATACATACGAGTGCATATACTCATGTTAAAGCCTAATGAGCTTTTATATGGGCTTAGTATAAAATTCACGTTACATTCTCCTTTTTTAGAATACAAGAAAACCAGTCGTATTCATGCAGTCTCTTATCCATGCTCGTGAGTGGATCACACTTCCAATAACGTTGTACGCAATTCAGAAGTTGGTTGTAGATGTGTCGGAACAGGATCTCGTGCGTGACATCGACTGGATCATCTTACCTATTGCCAATCCCGATGGTTACGAGTTCAGTCATACTAATGTGAGTTAAATATAGATTTCTAATAGATATTCTATACTACAGTAAATACTAGTTATTTTCTACTTTTTCTAAAATTCTAAACTACAATTGCTTTTTTAGACGCGTATGTGGAGAAAGAATCGAGTCAATAACGCCATCGTGTTCTGTCCTGGAGTAGACCTTAATAGAAACTATGATGTCAACTGGGGAACCGCTTCAAGCAGCTCCCCCTGCACTGACACCTTCCACGGGGCCCATCCCTTTTCAGAACCAGAAACTCAAATCACCAGAAACATTATCAACAGTTTCAGATCTCGTATTTCTCTATTCCTTGATATTCATAGCTTCGGTAGTATGATCCTCTATGCATATGGCAACCGGACTCTTCCATCTAATGCTCTAACCTTAAATATGATAGGTGTTCAAATGGCTCAAAGAATCGATGCTGTTAAATGGCCCAACAACCCTAACTATAGAGTTGGAAATATTGTCGATGTTATCCGGTACTTCGCGTCTGGTGGTGCCAGTGACTACGCTCAAACCATGATTGGTCAAGGATTTTCATACACTTATGAACTACCCGCATATAGAAATGAAAACGGCTTCAACGGATTTTTGGTAGATCCAGCCTTTATTCCTCAAGCTGCTTTCGAAACATGGGAAGGAGTCAAAGTAGCTGCTAGATACGTAGCAAGGATCTAACAAAAATTCACCAAATTATTTATTTATCGATCTGTCTATTGCCGTTGTGTATATTTATTTCATTATAATATGTAAATAAACTGATGATATAAATAAAAATATTATAAGCAAACTTTTCTTTTATTAAATAGAGACTTGCCAAATTCTATATATTTTATCACGTATAAAAGTAAAATATTACAAAAAATAATAAAGAACAAAAATTCTTGTCTATATTTAATTGTTAAAATAATAAAAATAAATAAAATAAAAATAAAAAAATAAAAATAAAAAAGCCTTATATTTCTCTAAAAAAATTACATTGCTAAACATTAATTTAAATAATTATTTCTGTTTGAGAACCCCTGAGGTGAAGGCCTCCTCCAGAGAATTCCAATTGGCTCTGTCCTGCGCTACATCTACCCAGCGTGGTCCAGCTATACGCATGATCTCGTCTTCCCAACGTGTGTGTGGTCTTCCCCGTTTTCTTTTGCCAGGCGGTCCCAACCAAAGGGTCACTTTTTTGGTCCATCTGTTATCCTGAAGTCTTGCAACGTGACCTGCCCATTTCCATTTAAGTTTTTGTGCATCAATTGCTTTTGATGTACCTCTAATTTTTGAGTGACGAACTCTATGTTGTTTTTTTATGTTTAACATGCTGCGTTCCATTCCTCTTTGACATGTAATAATTTTGTTTTTAACAATATAGTTAAATTTCCAAGACTGGCATGCATATGTTAGGCATGGAAGGAGGTTTGAATCCATAACCTTTTTTTTCAATTCTACCGCGAGATCACTTTTGAATATTTCTTTTAAATTCCAGTATTTGTTCCGCGTTCGTTTTACTCTCCTTTCAATTTACAGTAGGTTGTTATTTTTATTAAATGAGATTTATTTCCCTAAGTATATATATTCTTTTGTGTATTCGATTGGTACATTATTAACATTTACAGACTTTTGTGTGCTATTGGTCATGATTTTTGTTTTTGAAGAGTTCATTTCTAGCCCCACCTGTATACTAGCAGAGTGAAGTGTGGTTATCATATATTGTAGTTGCTTAGAACTCTCGGACACAATGACAATATCGTCGGCGAACCTTAGGTGACTCAAATAGGTGCCTTTTATAAGTATGCCACATCGATTCCATTGTAGTTGTCTGAATACATTTTCTAATACTTAATTCTACATATTTAATTGTTAATATATTTAAAAAAACGAACTAGTACGAGTCTGACGCGCATACCGAAGGTTAGGAATGTTATGTTTTAGCATACGAAATTTATTATAAAATGAAATATTTATAAATATACAACATATATTTTATCAAAGGCCAGCGCAGTGGCCAGCTCGCTTGGGAAACTGAGTGTAGCGGATTAAAATCCCGGAACTCGCACCACTAATATTTTCATGAGCGAATAATTTCTACATCTTACGATGAAGGAAAACATCGTGAGGAAACCTGCATGTCTGAGAGAACATGTTTTCGAAAGACAATTTCGTCAACCCGCGCTTGGCCAGCATGGTGGACTATGATCCCTTGTAGTAAAGGGAGGTCCGTACCCAGCAGTGGGACGTTGAAAAAGAGCTAAATATTTACAATACATACATACATTAAATCAACTGCAGAACTATATATATATATATATATATATATATATATAATATATATATATATATATATATATATGTATATATATATATATGTATATATATATATATGTATATATATATATATGTATGTATGTATGTATTCACGGGGGTTTCAGAAACAAAATTATTTTAGCTGCTGAACGCATGGTACTGATAATATATCATGTGTTTTAAAAATATCTTTAACAAAAACACATTCAGTATCTTTCAGTCAAATCTTTACAAATCTTCCAAATTCGATTCGTTATACGAGTAAATAAACAGTGCTAAAACATAGCACTACACGTTTAGTAACAAATTGATGTAGACTCCGAGTCATTTAAACATTTCCATTTCAAAAATAGATAATTTAAAAGATACTATTTTCGCAATAACTGCAGTCTACAAGAGCTATTCTTCCATTTCAGAATAGTATTGAATAATTGAGGTCTTCACGTGACTAGTATATTGATGATGCCTTGTTCCAGCTTTAATGGCTATAGAGATGGTAAAGAATATTGAATAGGTAACAAATGCATTAATACATTTTATATGCGGTTATACATAGTATTATGTTTTAACTAGCAATTAATAACGACTCTGTCTGCTAATTTAAAAAAAGCAGTCATGCGGACTGCCGACAGACGTGAAAACTTAAAACTATAAACAAACAGTTGTAATTTTTATATATTTAAATTAATTGTTAGATATTAAATTAATATTTGTAAACAAACACTACAGGCTGTGGTAGCCCAGTGGTAACGCGCTCGCTTGGGAAACCGAGTGAAGCGGGTTCAAATCCCAGGTCTCGCACCTCTGATATTTTCATGTGCGAATCATTTGAATATGATTACCACTTGTCTTAACGGTGAAGGAAAACATCGTGAGGATACCTGCATGTCTGAGAGAACCTAGCAAGTTTTTAAAAGACATGTGAAGTCCGCCAACCCACACTTGGCCAGCATAGTATATAAGTACTAACTATATACCAAATTGACTCGCCTAATTTAAAGTCAGCAAGTATTTCGTTTAACGATCGATTAATTAACTCACAAAAATAACTGTTAAAGTGCAACGAGCCGTCAATATCAGAAATAATTAAATTATATGGACTACGCTGTATGTAGCTTGTATAATAATGTTCTTCTGGCCTATTTTGGCTACGACGGCCAATATAAGTGATGCACTAAGATCCCGCTGCAAGATTGCTACGTTCATAGCGTATTTACGTATTTATGAACATAGCAATCTTGCAGCCGGATCTTGATCCAGGAGGAACCTCTATGCGGGAAATACTATAGTGCATATATCCCGTGGGACGGTAATTTTACACGTCCAGTGATTTCTACAGGCAGGAACGACGGCTTTATAGGTATACTTTTAGAGGCATAAAACACAGCCAGCTTTTCAACTCTAAGCTATTATTGAAAATTTAGTTATCAAAAAAGTCAATAACTACACTCAGCCCGACCTCTGACTTAAATTTAGGATCTCTGAATGGTGTAACCGTACATGCTAGCTACTCGCTCTCTACAAAGCTCTCCATGGGATTTTTCCATGGGATGATTATTTGAATACAAAATATTTAAAATAAATCAATTCTTAACCAGCAAAGACGTAATATACTCGCGTAAAGTCAGAATAATAAGTCTATATCACGATAGAAATGCCTATTTTTTAAATATGTAATATCTATACCTCATCTAAATATTTTCATCGTACTACAGTGTATTGGCTTCGCAGATCTCCATAAATCAATAGTAAACTGGCATAAACACTGCCCGAGAGGTATCGCATAAAATATTCCAACGGCGAGTCGAAGAAAAACAGATATCAGGAAATCCCGTTGTTTTTCAGTACAGGTAAGCAATAATGGATGGAATTCGAGTAATTCTTGAATATAAGATTAGTATACACTAAAGTAAAGTTAAAGTTTAATATTTTTTAAGACCCAATTCAAGAATTGAGGAAATATTCAATTCGGCTGTATGTATATTGTGTAATGTTGTGTAATTTTCACTTAAAAATTAATTATTATTAGAAAGATTTCGAAACGGTTCATCCGATTTTGTTAAATATAATATAATTGATTTTGATAAAATTTGGTACAAAGTTAGACTGTGACATGGATTACTATTAGATACTTAGGTACAAGAATCAGTAGTTGGTAAGAAATAATGCTAAAATTGTGTGCACAAGGCTTTATAAGAGGGTGACAAGGAAAAATATTGTCTCCAGATGCGACGTGATGCCATGTCCGGGCTCTACAGAGTACGTTTAGTGATGTTTGTTAATGTTAAACTCGATAGTGCTTGAAAAGAGTAATAAATAAGAAGTCACGGGTTTGAAAGTATTTTGTTTATTAAAAGATAGGGAATATTATATGTAAATAAAAATAATAGTGTAATATTAAAAATAGATTTCTTGTCGGCCTTTAAAATCCATTTTTTTTCGCGTTTTTATTAGAGTTTCTTAGCCAAAAGGGAAAGTGGAAACTATATGGTTTCGAATCAAAAACCAAAGTTACTGCAGAAAATGCCTACCTAGAAAAAACAATAATTTGGAAAGAACAATGGTATCAAAGTGACTACGATTTTAAAAATCGGAAAAATGGTTTCAAGTCAAGGGTGAAATAATCTTATATACTTCTATATAAATACGAAAGTTTGGATGGATGGATGCTTTTAACTCGATCAGGCCAGAACGGCTGAACGCATCTGAATAAAATTTGGCACAAAGATAGATTATTGTCTGGAACAGCACTTATGTTACTTTTTATTATTTTTCACTAGAAACCGAGGGAAGCGAGGTTGAGCCGTTAGTTACTTATAAGTCATTTTAGTTGTTAGTTGGTGAATCTTTTTTAGTTAAAATTTTATTTTGTGAATGTTACGAGACCCAACGTGGTCAAGTATATTATATTGTTTGTATATAACATAGCCAAATATTGACAATAAGATAGATATACAAAACATATTATGCACACTTGATTATTATAACTGTACAAGTCATGTCCGCGAGGAATGTGATCATTAATGCTAACCGCAATCCGCCGCAGTAAGGCAATACCGATTTTTGGGCGAAAAACGAGGTAGCTTTCTTATCACCAGTAGAGGTGATAAGACGAGGTTCTAGTCTTTTAAGAAGTGTTTAGCACTTCCACTTATAGGCCAAGGGTTCTACAGCAAATGTTATAAAGGCATAATTTTGACTAAAGGAGCTATATTTATGTAACTGCAGCAGTTCAGCTTTACTATACTTTTCTTCTTTTACTACACCTAAACCTTCTCTACATTTCTGGTAAATAAAGAGAAAAAAGTCTTTAATTATTAGAATATTCATTTTATTGCTCAAAATTTACGACGTTTCAAATGTTATAATCTAGAGAA